GGCTACTCAAAAGCTTAGATGAACTCGAGCCTCGGGCGTCTTTAAAACAACGTGTTTCTAAATAAAAAAAACAGTAGCCATAATTATATTACATGAGTGAGACCGGTATTGCATTCAAAACAGGTCTTGGACATAACTACCCCACACTAGTCATCGTACTTCGCATTCACAAATTCAACATGATTCGTCGCTGCTTTAAATGACGTTTTCAACTTGGTGATATAAGATTTCAAAGCCCATCGGTATGGAGATATGAAATCATTACCATTCTTTCGGTTTGAAACGAAAATGAAACACCACTTTATTAGATTATTTAATTAGATATATGTACAACGCTCTTCCTGGATAAAAAGTACTGTTTTGCCAAGCAAGAACTTTAGTCTACTAGTAGTTAGCTTAACTTAGTTTATTTTTATGTTTTTGTCTCATTATGTTTGCTTGTTTTGTATCCTTGACCTAAACATGTAAAATATATTTTCTTCCAGTTTAACTGGCTGCCTGGCATTTTTAACTCTCAGGTTATTTCGGATAGGCAGGGCCCCTATAATTTTTGTTTTAACTCTACAATATTGTAATTTCTAACTCTGAGGTGAAATGAAAGTTTTTGTTGTTGTTTGTTTTGTTGTTGTAAAAGCCTGCGATCGAAACATGGTTCCTTACCCTGTGCAGTTCCACACCATAGTACTTGACCAAGCTCTCATGTCTAATGCCTTCAAAGTTCTTGATTTCATCAGCAAGATCCCTTATTTCACCGTGATCATTTGGCTGAAACTTGATCTAACAACAAAATGCATGACATATGTTTAAACTACAAGCCTGTAAGATAACAAATAATAAGTTAATAGTTCAAAATCGCCTTTGTTAGACCTGGCAACGTGTGTGGTTGTAAAGGTAAACAAAGGCTACTGTTACCAGGGCGCAGAATTATTTGGGCAAAAACCATGGCAATGTTAACAATTTATAGTCACGATAATTTTCTTACCTGTTTTACAGCCATTAGTTCCCCTGTGTCCAAATTAACACAAGCATATACTTTTCCAAACTGACCTTCCCCTAAAAGATGGGCAACAACATCAAATTACCAAACATCCCACCTTGTAATACGTTGTCTTTTGCTAGAGTTTTTTTTCATTATTATTTGCAAACAAAACGACCCCAAACTTCAAGGACTTACCAATCTTGTTTCCTCGTTGCCACTTGAACGGCACCTTTCTGCTGGAAATGCTTGCAAGCTCCTTGACAATGTCACGGCGTCTGTTACTAACACGACCAATCACATGCTTTTCATACAAGTACTCATTTCTCTTCACCTCTAATTTTTTCAAGGAGTGTCGCACTTTCTCTAACCTTGGAGCATCTGGTGATGCTACAAAGCTGTCTCTCTGTTTGGCAGTTTCCTTTTCTCCTTCGTCTCCGCTTTCATCCTCAACATTGCTCACTGTAAAGGAAGAAACCCCGATTAACAGGTTATTACTTATAGTTTCTACTGGAGCGTTTACAGAGACCCCTCAATGTACAGTTGAACCCCGCTATCACGAACTCTTAAGGGAAACGAAAACTCTACACAGATACAATCTGGGGCTCGAACTGCTAGGTCTTATCCGGGTTTCTTGAGCATGAAGCGGCTAGGAGAAGGATGGGATGCTGGCTTATCACAGGTTGCTCCAAAAAATTTGCCATCACCCACTGAAACACCTCTGGGTGGAGCGAGGCGCTGTGAGGGTAAAGTGCCTTGCCCAAACAACACCACGACCTAGGTCGGGGCTAGAACCCAAGTCACTCATCTAGAGTCCAGGACCTGGGTGTTCCGAGCACGATGATGCTAATCCTAGATAAGGGTGAATGTGATTTTAGTTTTGGAACTTTACCATGACCCACAATCTTGATACAGGCGCTGGCACTAAGAGAAAAGAAACTGCCCGAGGTCAAGAGGGGCTTCTGCCAAACAGAAACAAACAGCTGTAAAGGTCCGGTAACACGGGCAACATTTTCCTTAAACTTGTCTCGCAACATTGTTGCATTGCAAGTTGAAACACATTGTTGCGCGCATTACCACGTTTGTGACCAACTTGTCTCGTAGCAAAATACAGTGCTGCAAGTCTGCAGAATTCTACAGTTATAATTGCTTAATCGCGTGTAAATAAAGATGGCGCCTTCTTTAATATAATTTANAGCTGTAAAGGTCCGGTAACACGGGCAACATTTTCCTTAAACTTGTCTCGCAACATTGTTGCATTGCAAGTTGAAACACATTGTTGCGCGCATTACCACGTTTGTGACCAACTTGTCTCGAGACAAGTTGAAGCAAAATGTTGCCCGTATTACCGGACCTTAAAACATGCAGGTTGAAAATTGGACTTAAAGTTACACTAAACGTAAAATACTCTACTAACCACTGTTCTTGACATCTGTTGCTAGACTTTGAAATTGTTGCTTAGCAACAGGGTCTGACAGCTGCCGTCGAGTGGCTTGACTTTCATCAGTGTCAGCCTGGTCCCCTGGGGATTTGGGCGGTTTTCCCGCAGGCCATGAGAGTGGCCTTAACAGCGCGGATCCTGACGCAGTATTCCTGCCAAAAACTGGAGACGGACAAGCTGGGCTCTGAGATCTGTATGCTAATGCAAGAAATATTATTATGATCATGATTAACGTAATTTAAAGTGGCGAATAAAATTTAGACTAGTTTAGTAATAAATTTAAGCTATTCAGGGCTATTGAACTCACAGAAGAACAGAAATTTAGGCACTCGATGAAAAATTCTGGTTTGAATTTCCGGAAATCTCCATTGACGAGTGGAACAGCATTTTCTGGAATTTCAGGAAAGAGGGCAACCTTGCGAGGTCTATCCAAATTTTGGGAAATCTCTTACTGGAAATTTCCCTTCCAATTGATTTTCCTTCAAGAATTTCAGGAATTTTCGGTTAAATGGTTCGCTTTTCGGAAATTCAACAATTTCTGGATTTTCTAAAAATTCTCCGTACCATTTCTCCCCGTTTCGAATTTTTCAGAATTTTTTGTTGAATGGAAAGCGCCCTTAGCCTTAAATGAAGTTAGACCAGCAAGACCATAATGGTCAGCGGTGTGGTCACGTGGATAAAGGTTACAGGGACTTAATGAGCTTCATCTTCCAGCTAGTGCAGACGAAGTTTGCGTTTTCTTTTTTTTTTTTTCAACAAGCTCGTCTATTGGTTGTGTTTATTATTCAACAGTTTGTAAATTGATATGCTAAAAACTTAAAACACAACAGTTACCTGGACTGGCTGTTCCACTACAGCTCTCTGCACTGCCAATAACGTGACAAATACACGTGTTGATCTCTTTCTTTAACTCCTACAAAAGGCAACAAATGGTGTAGTCAAAAGATAACTTCAAGGGGCCTGATCATGTAATTTTAGGCAGCTTTAGTGTTAATGAAATGGTCACAGAATTAACTGAAATATCACGATGATATCTTAAAACTGTACTTGTATAAACACTCAAGAGAAACACAAAACCTCCAAAAGGGCGTGAGTGGGCAAGTTTGATTAAAACGGATTGCATTTGGGCAAACTTGAAAAACGTCAGCCGACGTTTTTCAAGTTGTTACAACAGTGCCATTTTTGCTCAGATATCCTCCTTGTTTGTTGTGTGGCTGTAGTTTTACCCATAAAAGATTGCTGCTCTGTTGATTTGAACTTAAAAGCTCATAACTAACCAAAATAAACAGAATTAATAGCTAAAATACAGTGACCAACATGTAGGCTCTTCAATTTAAGGTAATGATGAATGCACAGTACAATAACTAAGATCCATACCTTAATGTAACTTCAATAGAGAACATTTTCTGTAATTTCAATTTACCTGAAAAGCAGACTCTGCCAAAGTTGTCAACGTCTTAGGGTCACAAGCCACAGTAAGGAAATCAAGTCCTTGGTTGGCCCATCTGTATAGAAAGCCAAATAAATAATCAGGTGACTACACTTGCCCTCAACACGTACAGGGAAAAGGTTAAGTTTGCATACGAGCCAAGTGGCCCATCAGACCAGCACTTGTCTCCGGTTTCTGTAGCATGAAGCAATTAGGAGTATTTGTACTCCCCCCTGGATGGGATTTGGGAGGTGCGGTGGCCTCAAGGTTAGTGCTCCGGATGGAGCGGTCCGCGTTTGAGCCCTGGCCAGGGACATTGTGTTGTGTTCTTGGGCAAGACACTTTACTCTCACGGAAGTGCTTATGATGAGGTTTGTTTCAAACCAGTTTAATCTTTACCTTGTTTTGTTTCAGATTACAACATGAAACAAGGTTAAATAAAAAACCATCATGTTTTAAAAAATGTCACTTCAAAAACTAATGTAAACTACATTCGTTTTTCTGATTTATGTTTTCTTGGCATCACAGGATATCAGGACAGTACACATGGTTTCTGATTGGCCAATTGTGAATTACGGTACAGCAATTACATGCATGACACCATGCCACAAAGAAAGTCATGGTGCTGAACTGGGAACAATTCTGTACCTTGGTCTTGTGCCTCTTCCCCTCTCACACTTTGACATCACAAACTTCATCCATTTCTTGGCAAATGCCAGCATCTTGTGTCCAAGAGTGTCCTTTCTCTTCCCGAACACTAAGCGTGCTACCTCTTTCTGGTACTGAAAAATTATTTATAAGAAAAATTATTTTAGTGATTCAATCTCAACCTTGCACTGTTTCATACAAAATGGATTATGACATAGTATTTGAAATGTCTTGCAACGTGCGTTCTTTTATGACATAGTATTTGAAATGTCTTGCAATATGCGTTCTGAGTGTTTGTAAAAAATGGTTATTCATGTTGTTACTGCCTATCTCTCTGTCACTGTGCGCTCTCTGCACACAAATTCGCTCCGACAAAGGGCTAACGCTTGAAACATCAGCTTTTGAATCTCATTACAGTGGCCAATTCACATTAACAACCCAGTTTATAAAACCAAATTATCTCTGTCACTGCATTTGATAAAATGTAAGGAGAAACATAATGTACCATAATTATTATAAATTCCAGTTTGATGAAAATCCTGTTAAAGAAATTTTAATAACCCACAATCCCATCTTTCATGGTCATGCAAATAGAGATTCTAAATTTCATGGTCTTTCTCACTGGTGCCCACGGATTTTCCATGAAACTTGAATTGGCATGACTATTACAGAAATTAGGGGGCTCTCAAGTCAACTTTTTGCAAGTTTTTACTGCCTGTCTCATGGTCATTGTGAACATTGTCACTGAACAAAAACAATCTGCTTTCATCACATGGTAAGATTACCTGTTTGTCTCGCACTTCATGGAAGAGTCCCCTATGCACTCATTTGAACAAAACACAATCAAGTTTTACGTACCTCAAAACCAAAGTTATAACACAGGTGCATGGTTTCTGTGTAAGTTTGATAAACCATGGCCTTCTCTGTCTCTTCCATTTCAAACATGCTATCAAGATCCAAGTTCTCATCAACTCTTTCCACAGCACTGACAATTCCTTCACGGAGAGTGAGACATGCATCCTACAGAAAGTTATTTCCTTTGTTGTAAACCAAGTTTGAACACATGTAGTAATCAAAATCATGGTTAGTTGTACGTAAGACTTGCTTTCAACATTGTGGAGAAAATAACTTTTGAGAAATTAGGAAATATGTATAGTCCACTCTGCCACCATAATATAAAATGCAATTTAGGGTAAGCAGAATCAGTAACAGTCCTGGTCAGAATCCTTCTACAGTGGACATCTATGTCAGGGCAACCTGGAGGATTGGGTGGGTAGGGTGGGGGGTTGCAAGACCCTCCTGAGCTTAATGTTCCTGCCGCTTTGTTGCTTTCTTGTAGAGCCTTATTCCCACACCCTCCTCTGACTCTGCCACTGACTCTGTCACTGTCTAATAAATTGTTGCTGTGTTAATGGTTGCTATGAATACATTCACACTTTACAAGCAACATCACCCTTACAAGTAGACGAGTTTCACACTTGCTTAAGACACATCAACCAGATCAATTTGTCATAGATACCAAACCAATGTTTACGTCAATGTTGAAACCATTCTAATGTCTCTAATAGGCTGAAGAAGAGTTCTACAAAAAACAACAAAAAAACAAACCTGCAGTTCATCAAGAGCTTCTGAAATGGCCTGATGGCTTGATGTTCTTGGCTTGACAATGCTGACTGATAAACTCATGCTCTCCAGAAACAGTTTACGCTGAACATCCAACTCCTTGGAGTTATGTACCACCAATATCATGCCCCCAACCTGAGACATAAAAGATAAAAAAATTAACAAACACATACACTGTCTGTCAGGAAGAAGGTGAAAGGATTGGAATGCACTAAATATAATTCAATAGTTTTAAATGTGCAGAAGTTTACGACAGAACATTAATTTTTTTCCTCAAATTTTTGATGAAGCATTCATTGTCTCATAATGTTTCCAAGTTTTATTATTCACTCAAACAACTGTTGTTGTGCCACCAAAGTTGTCATGCGATCAAAGTGTGAAGTGAGATCGGTTGCTAGGCAACTATGAAACCAAAACGGCACGCTCAGTCCAATCTCACAACAACAATTCACCATCAACCAGTTGCACTTTCCATTTGACTAAAAATTCAGGTTTGAGTTCCTGAAAATTTTCAGTGGAGTATTTCTGAAAAAAAGAGGACAACCACACGGGGTATACAACAATATTTGAAAATGTTTGACCAAGAATTTCCCTTCCAGTAATTTTCCTCCCAGAATTGGCAGAATTTTAGGTTGAATAGTTTGCAGTTCAGAAATTTGACAATTTTTTGCACTTTACAGAAACCCTCCAGGGAAATTTCTATTCCATTTGCACCTGTTTCGTTCCAGAAGTTTTGGTTTAATAGAAAGCACCCTCTGGTACTGATCCCTAACTGCATTCAGGACATTTATATCATCTGGAACATCAGTTCCATCACAAAGAGCGACAAAAAGCAGGTCAGGTAGATCTTATCATGCCAAGACAGCAGGGAGATAAAAAGTCTCTAACATGCATGATATTACCTGTATATCTGCTAGACCAATGGCAGCATCCATCGTCGGATTGACCACCACCTTCTTGCCGTTCCATGACACTGGTGTCTCGTTCCCACTATCTGCATCACACGATGGCATGATCAGGAGGTATCCAGAACAGTCAGAAACAACTTGGTCGCCAAATTCTTCTTGAACACAGCAGGAATTCAAGAGGTGGATGATTTGGCTGTAATGGCAAGGAAACAATGCAGAATCAGGTATTAATTAATTAATTTCCATATTGTAAATGCCAAGGGTTTCATTAAGGCAAATTAACTGCCTGGGCCTGTGATGTTGCTCGCTTGGTTTGACTATCTAGAGGAAAGATTTTGTTGTAAAAGAAGTTCAGTTCAAAACGTTTTGCCACCCATGAATACCAGTTGCTCTCCTGCTGAATTAATGAAACCCCTGAAATGCATTGTAAAAATGATTATGTTTCTATTTATTAAATTATCTCACTGTTTTATGTTTTGTGTTTGTATCACCAGCATAATTATACCAAGGATGGAGCAGGCTGTGAATGAACTTGACGAATTTCCCCAGGGACTAAGGGAATCATACAGTTCAAAGAGCAGATACTGTATCCAATATCATTATTACTGAACAGTAACAAACTAATATTTTAACACCAGTTACACAAACCATTTCTTTTTAACCATGGCTCTTGGCACAAACATAAACAGACCAGCAGTGTGTCTTGCCACAACCTGGAAAACAGTAATATTACAAATTGTTGTTAGTATTCATTTGCCATTTGACTTGAAACATCATCATGTAAACTTGAGTTTCCTTTAGCCCTATGCATTGCTATAGATCCAACCAAACAACAGAGCACTAGAAAGCATGCTGAATTGACAATCAGTCAAACAAAACTAAATTAAAACCTAGCATCACTTCCAAGGCTTACGCATGTTAACAAGTAACTGGTGCTGAGTGAAAACTCACTTCTGTCAGCTTCTGACTAGCCCACTGTGATAAATTTCCAGTCAAGAATTGCGATAGTTTTTGGTTTGTTCATGATTGCAAATTAAAATACATACGTGTTGCCCCTCTATTAGGATAAGCTGCTTCCTATACTAACTAACCACATGGAAAAAGAACTAGAAAAATGTTTGACAACAGTAGAAAACAAAAACAACAGCAACAACGACAACAACAGAAAAATGTTTCATTGCTATCATCAGTGCCTGCCTCTACTAATCTGTATTGAATAGTATTGAATAACTTTTGACAACAATAAATCTGCTCAAAGGGTTAATCATTTAAAAGATTCTATACCTGTACATGTCCACTGGCTTCCAATCTCATCAACAACTCATACATGGGGACATCAATGCTGAACTTTGCAGCATTTTCTAGGTCATTTCGAAGTTTCTTGGTGAAGCCAAGGGCTTTAGAAGCCCTTTCTCTCGCCTCATTAAACAGGTGTTTAAAACCTCGGCAAGCTTCTAGTACCTTCCGTCTGTCCAAAAAACAACCCAAGAATGAATGTAACCTTGTCAGAATCCATCAAATCAGTACAACCAAAAATGGCAGAACGGGCTACCCCCTCTCCCTAATAAGGTAAGTGACCTTTCAGGGATTGGCATTGATGGGGTATTCTCTGAACAGTCACTGGCATTCCTCCAAGTGTCATTCCCAAGTGTCATTCCCAGGAGTTGAGAATAGGGAAAGAGGGCCGACAGGGATAGGAGAGCTCAAGGATCAAGGTGATAAGGATATGCGAAGAATTTTGGATATCAATACTGTTTCTGTTGCATGACTTTTTCCATTCTTGGCAATTCTTATTGTTTATTGCTGACAGCTCTTCCACCATGTATAATTTGTTTGGACTGGAATTTAAAAAGTCATCACAAAGTCATTCTTTTTATGAATTTATTGATCATACTAATCATCATACAAAAAAATGAATACTGTACCTGAGATCATCACTTTGATCAGTGTTATTGTGAAGGTCAGAACAACTCTGATCCAACTCTGACTCCAGAAAATCACCAGTTGATTCAAGTAAGCCTGAAGCCATGACACTGAAAGGTTAAAATTAACAAGTGTCAAATGAAAATTCAGAAAATATCTCAGCTGAAGATTCAAGACTGG